ACTCTGGGGGTGCTGAGCGTGTGGGTGCTACGCCTGGGGGTGCTGAGCCTGGGGGTGCTGAGCCTGGGGGTGCTGAGTCTGGGGGTACTACGACTAGGGGTGCTGAGCCTGGGGGTACTACGCCTGGAGGTGCTGAGCCTGGGGGTGCTGCGTCTGAGGGTGCTGAGCCTGGGGGTACTACGCCTGGAGGTGCTGAGCCTGGGGGTGCTACGCCTGGTGGTGCTGTGCCTGGCGGTTCACCGGGTGCTCCCTCTCGCAGAGAGCCACTCTCTCCCCAGGAGCTGCGTGAGTGGTTTGCCCGGCGCTGGAGGCGAGCTGCTGGAGCTGCTGGAGCTGGAGGTGCTGCGGGTACTGGAGGTTCTGTTGCTTCTGAGGGAGCTGGTGCCACGGGTCCCGGAGGTGCTCGTACTGGGCGTACTGGAGCTGCTGGACCTGCGGGTACTTCTGGAGCTGGAGCTGCTGCGGGTGTTGGCGCGGAGGCTACTGCTGTCGGTCCTGGAGACGGTCCTGCTGGGGGTACTGCTGGTGCTGCTGGGGGTACTGGAGCTGGAGCTGCTACTGGTGCTGGTGCTGCCACAGGGGGTGCTGGTGCTGTCCCTGCTGTGTCTGGAGTCGCCGCGCGGCCTCGGCCGTACTTCGTTCCGCTCCTTCAGCAGGTTCTTGGTCTCCCGTCTTCTACTGGTCCTCCTCCTCCCTTAGAGTGTCCACAGCCTGTCCCGTCGCAGTTACAGTTACAGCCGGCCTCCCCACTGCCTGCTCCGTCTCCCTACACTGGTCCTACTGGAGGTCTTGCTGAGCGTCGTGAGCCTGCGTCTCGCCCTGCGTCGCCTGTCCGTGCTGCTCGCACTAGTGGTCGCGGTTCGCGTCAGCGTCCTCCTCCTGTCCCTGGCACGCACCGGATGTCTCTGCGTCCGTCCACTGCTCCTCTGCGTGCCCCTTTCCCTTCTCCTCCTGAGTCTTCTCTTCCTGCTCTTGCCGACCCGGAGTCGGACTCTCTTCGTGCTGCCAGTCCTACTGTCACGCGTCTCCTTGCTACTGTTGTCACTGACCCTTCCTTTGAGTCCACTGCTGCGTCTTCCCTAGTTGCTGAGCTCGTCGACTTTGCTGCTCGCTGTCGCCTAGACTACGTCGCCAGTCTTGTTGCTGAGTCTGAGTCTGTCTGTCCTCCGTCCGTCGGGGGTGAGTGTGCCCTTGGCACGGACGTCCTTGAGGACAGGCAGGAGGAGTTCCAGTGCTTGGCCGCTGCTTCACCTCATCTCGTGTCCGTACTGCTTACCCTTGAGGGAGACCCGGATGCACTTGACATCCCGACTCCGCGCTCTTACGCGGAGGCGATAGAGGGTCCCTACTCCTCTCAGTGGCAGGCAGCTATGGACGCAGAGATGGCTTCCTGGAAGTCCACAGGCACCTACGTTGACGCTGTTCCCCCTCCTGGGGCGAACATCGTCAGTGGCATGTGGATTTTCAGGGTGAAGCGACCGCCGGGTTCTCCGCCTGTCTTCAAGGCGCGTTACGTGGCTCGTGGCTTCAGTCAGCGGCAGGGAGTTGACTACTTTCAGACCTTCTCTCCCACCCCGAAGATGACCACTCTTCGGGTACTGCTGCACGTAGCTGCTCACCGTGACTACGAGCTACACACTCTTGACTTCAGCACTGCTTTCTTGCAGGGCAGCCTGCACGAGGAGATCTGGCTGCGTCGCCCACCTGGCTTCACTGGGTCTTTTCCTCCTGGCACCCAGTGGAGCCTACGGCGGCCAGTCTACGGTCTCCGCCAGGCACCGCGTGAGTGGCACGACACACTGAGGACTACACTTGCAGCTCTTGGGTTTGCTCCCTCTACTGCCGACCCGTCGCTGTTTCTGCGCACCGACACTTCTTTGCCGCCGTTCTACATCCTCGTGTACGTCGACGACTTGGTCTTTGCCACAGCTGACACTACTGGACTAGCCCACGTGAAGTCCGAGCTGCAGAAGAGACACACGTGCACTGACCTGGGTGAACTGCGCAGCTACCTTGGCTTGCAGATCACTCGGGACAGAGCACGCCGCACCATTACCCTGACTCAGTCACACATGGTGCAGCAGGTCCTTCAGCGCTTCGGCTTCACGTACTCCTCGCCTCAGACCACTCCTCTGCCTACTCGCCACTCGCTCTCAGCTCTGCCTTCGGATGAGTCCGTAGAGTCGAGTGGCCCGTACCCAGAGCTTGTTGGCTGCCTCATGTACCTGATGACCTGCACACGACCTGACCTTGCATACCCTCTTAGCATTCTTGCACGCTATGTTGCTCCTGGGAGACACAGACCGGAGCACATGGCTGCAGCGAAGAGGGTGTTGCGCTACTTGTGCAGTACGTCGGGCATGGGGCTTGTGCTTGGAGGGCAGAGTCCAGTGGTCCTTACTGGGCACGCAGACGCTTCTTGGGCTGACGACCAGGCTACGCAGCGGTCGTCACAGGGTTACACCTTCAGCCTTGGTTCCGGCTCTGTTTCGTGGCGGGCTACTCGCTCGTCTTCTGTTCTCGGCTCCAGTTGTGAGGCTGAGATCTACGCAGGAGCCATGGCTGCACAGGAGCTTCGCTGGCTCACCTACCTGCTGACTGACCTCGGAGAGTTGCCTCGTTCTCCTCCAGTGCTGTACGTAGACAACAAGGCCATGCTGGCCTTGTGTCGGGAGCAGCGACTGGAGCACAGAACGAAGCACATTGCTCTCCGCTACTTTCTTGCTCGTGAGCTGCAGCAGCGTGGTCAGCTGCATCTTGCGTACGTGGCCTCTGAGGCCAACACTGCTGATATCTTCACCAAGGCACTTTCGCCTTGTGACCATCAGCGCTTCTGTACTCAGCTGGGCCTTGTGCCTACCTTGCCTCACTTGCTCACCTCTTGACCTTGCTTGTACTGTTACATGTATATATACCTGCTCTTGTTTGTCTAGCCTTTTTATATATATGTGTACTCCTGCTTGTGAACTGGCCTTGTGGCCTTGAACTTGTGCTCGGAATGTGTGGTGACTTTGTGATCCACCCTGAGCTTGTTTTTGCTTTGCTTTGCTTGACTGGTCTTGTGACCCCTTGTTTTCCCCCACTGTGCCTATGGGGGTGTGTCAGATTTATATGACATAGCTACTGTAGGCTATGGTGGGGTAGCACATATGGGGTACAGTTTTCTAGGGTTTGGTTCTTGTACCCAACTTTCACTTAGTCATATTCATTCCTCGTTTCTTCTCACGTGTTCCCGAAGGTTCGTTTTATCTCGTTTATCCTTGTATTTTCCGAGTATAAAAACGCCTTGTATTCAGTTTTAGTGACAAGTTTCGATTGAGAATTCGATCCTGTGACACTACTGGAGGAAGCAAAATTGGCCCAGTTACCCAATTTCTCTCTCTCTTCTGCGACAACCAATCGGCCATTCGCATAGCGAACAAAAACGGGTTCGCGAATCGAACGAAGCACATCGCCCTTCGGTACTTCTTCGTGAAAGACGAGATCGAAAAGGGGAGACTCGAAGTAACCTACTGTCCCACATCCGAGATGGCAGCCGACTACTTGACCAAGAAACTCGGAAAACAGAAGTTCGAGTACTGCATGCTGCTGACTGGACAAGGACACGTCATCAGCAACGATCCTCCAGAAGCGAAGGGGAGTGTTGGAAACAAGTGATTTATAACGCTTCTGTCGTATCGAAGCTTCGACACAAAACGGAACCGACTACAGCGAAGAAGCACCCGAGTCAACCGTCGAAGGTTACGCGAAGGTCAAAGGTCCCCGACCTTTGACCTGACGAAACGAACAGTACGACAGCAAGGACACATAACTGACTCGTTACAGAGCAGTTACCCGAGTCGGCACTGTATCGAACCGCAACAGCAAAACAGTTAAAATATAACTTTCCACATTCCTTTGTAATCATATAAAAAGCTTGTATCTCTTTGCTATTATTTAACTTATCTTGTTCTCACAAACCAGCACAAGGTGGTTCATAACAACTCTTTATTAAAACGCTTCCGCTATTACATCACTATTTCAACACCCGATCTTAGTCCTGAAAAGATCCTACGGGCTTTTCTCAGCCCAACAACTGAATCCGTGACCCCACTTACCAAACCCATCAGAAAACCCGATACAGTGACCGTACGCGTTTTTTTTTTTTTTATCATTCACATTATCGAGTCCCAAGTTGGTTACTTATGGCATATTTTCCCCTCCAGTTACGACTGCGGGTGTATTTATGCTTGTCTTAATATATCTACATCCAACAAAAAATACTGTATTGAACCACGTAATTTGAAAAACCTCACTTGCATGTTATATTCACAAATTGAGTTCTATATAATCCCCATTTTTTTTGCAATGCATCCACCTTTAACAACATATTTCTTTTACATTCATCAGCCTGTCACTTTACCTCGATCTCATTCATTTCCTTGTGGAGCCACACTTTCTTGAAACTGCTCTTTACCATAAAATACAATTATGGGGGAAACAACTCACATAATAACAATGCCACTCAACAAATCAAGTAGCTAGAAATCTACATATCCTAGAACGAATAAATGGTTACACCAAAGCCCCTTCAATGCCTCTGGAACTCAACATGTTCACCGCTCCATCTCATTGTGGCATTTGGTCATTCCCATCACATGAAGAAACAGTGCTTCCATTATTGATACGAAAACTGAACCGTCTCCAGGTCCACTCAGTGGGAGAATCCGCACTCCTGGACTTCTCTGTGAACTCGACCAGCCCAGAGCGGTGCACTGCCACCACTATGCAGCTGCGCGTTCCATACGCCCCCTGGTGTGGGTGAGAGGGGTCAGTGAGACGAAGAGTGAAATTGGAGGGCAGAGGAGAAGGCATTTGAGACAGAATAAAGCACAGACGGGATTATTAATTTGGTGAAAGACAATATGGCACCACCGGACCCACGAGCTGGTTCGGACAGCAGAGAAACAGATTGCACAAAAGGGCATGACAGGATAGAAAAGAAATGGCCAGCAGTGTACCTTGGGAGTGTCACAGTTGACAAAGACAGGTGTCAGCCTCTGATCATACTCCGGCCCCATAGGGCAGTGCTCTGCCTCAGCCACGTCTGCACTGGTGTGAGGGTGCACAGGCTGCCATGCGTCCATGAGCACTCTCTCTATAATCACCTCTGCTGGCACCTCGCCCCCTTTGCTCTCTGACAGCAGCTCGGCTAGGTGCGCCTTGGCTCGCTCCACCTGCAAACGGGAGTGATAAAAGCCGGGGAGGAGGGGCCAGTCAGGAGAGTAAACGTGAGAGCTTATTTACCATCCAAAGCTCTCTGGTATGACTCCATTCCTTGCTGGTCCTACCTTGCTCCAGGGAGTGTCGAGAGCCGCATTACTGAGTCCATGTAGCCCTCTCTCCACGCGCATCACACCACATGCCGCCGCCCCATTCCTCTCCTCCCCACCACCATACGCGCCTCCATTTGCGCCCTCTCCTTCATGATGCGGGGCATTTGTCAGATAGTACATGCGCACATGCGCGGAGGGGCTCCTGCTGGCTTCCCCCCCACATGCGCCCTCTGTGCCTCCCCCTTCTGCACTTCTGCGCCCCTGCTCCTGCTGCTGCTGCTGCTCATACTCCTCCGCCCCTGCAGCATCCGCGCTGTGCCTGCTCTCGTCGAATGCCACGTCAGCAGCAACGAGGTTGAATCCGTTGAAGAGGTGCGCGCGCCGCGCCACGGACTCCAGGTACTCCCGCGGACCCCCTGCGCCTTCCGCGCCCCCTGCGCCTTCCGCGCCCCCTGCGCCCTCCGCGCCGTCCGCGCCTTCCACGCCGTCCGCGCGCCACGCGCCGTCCGCGCGCCACGCGCCCTGCAGGAAGTCGGAGATGAGGGCGCCGCGGCTGATGGCGTCGGCGCGATTGCGGACGGCCCAGCAGTTGGAGAGGAACGCGACGCGCCCGCCCGTGCTCGCGCCCAGCCACGTGCCCCCGCACTGCAGGTCGCGCCCCGCCAGCACGCGCGGGTCGTCGCGCCAATAGTGCGCGGGGTCCGTGGGCCTGGTGGGGGGAGGGGGAAGCGGCGGGGTGTGGGGAAAGGGGAGGAAAGAAGGGATGGGTACGGGAGAGAGAGAATAGAAAGGCGGTCGCGAGGGGAGTCAGATAGATGCGGTGTTAAGGCGGTCGGGCGGGGCGACACGGGAACCAGGCAGCAGGCGACGGTGTGGGACGGTGGTGAGGGGAGGATGCGACGCACCTGGCGAGGAGCTCGTCGCGGTTGGAGGCGAGGAGCAGCGCGTAGAGCGGATGGCCGTCCAGCACCCACACCGACAGACACATGCTGCCGCCTGGCTTCGCGTGGCGCGTGCGCCTCGATGTAGCGCGTGCTTGGATACGGCGCGTGCTCGCTGATACGGCTCGTGGCTCGATAAGGAATGGAGGCTGGTCGTACAGGGGTGACTCAACGAGTGGGCGGCGATAGGATACTCGTCCGTGCGTGACTCAACAGGTGCGAAGGGATTTACGAAATTGAAGTCCAGGAACGATGTTGTTGAGAGCAAAAGAGTATTTTCAGCATGAATAGAGTTGCCCTGGTGTGAAACAAGAACGAATAATGAGAGCAAAAAGAAATCTGGTCGGTCTCTTGAATGGCGTCTGCTCTGGGCTTCTGAGCTGCTTGGGGAATGACGGGCTGCGGAATAGAATCGAGGCAGAACAAAGGTGTCAGTCGTGCCGTGCGATGGCAAGCGACGCTGCGACGTAACTCTCGCGCCGCAATGCGATGCAGTTTGTTGACACGTCATGTAGAGTCAGCAGGGACATCTGTTCCTCCCAAGTGCGAGGTGCATTTCAGAAATTTATGCGATGAGATTCTAATTAAGGTGAGTGTATATAATTTAGCTTCACATTCTAACAATATGTTATGTATCCTAGTTAATATATAATTTTACCAATAAAAAAAACGTCTCAGGTTCGAAGGTTGCAAGCCCTCAACTGAGCGCTTGGTCCAATTAAGGGCTTGATCCAATTGCGCGCTTGGTCCAAGTGAGCAGGCCCTACGATATCAGGATTTTTTCCCTGAAATTCTTGATTTTCATGGATTTTGTTGTACCTACCCTGATTTTCCAGTGTTCAGCCTTTCGGGGGACTGATTTTTCAGTCTTTAGGGGCCAGTGAGAAGAAACAAGGAATGAATGAACTATGAATGAATTGGGTACAAGTACTAACCCTAATTGGGTTGTACCCCTTATGGGCTACCCCACTATAGCCTACACAATATGCATGAGCTATAATGTTCTGACACACCCCCATAGGCAAAGTGGGGGAGAACAAGGGGTCACAAGACCAGTCAAGCAAAGCAAAGCAAAGCAAGCTCAGGGTGGATCACAAAGTCACCACACATTCCGAGCACAAGTTCAAGGCCACAAGGCCAGTTCACATGCAGGAGTACATATATATAAAAAGACTAGACAAGCAAGAGCAGGTATATATATGTAACAGTACAAGCAAGGTCAAGAGGTGAGCAAGTGAGGCAAGGTAGGCACAAGGCCCAGCTGAGTACAGAAGCGCTGATGGTCACAAGGCGCAAGCGCCTTGGTGAAGATATCAGCAGTGTTGGCCTCAGAGGCCACGTACGCAAGACGCAGCTGAACACGCTGCTGCAGCTCACGAGCAAGAAAGTAGCGGAGAGCAATGTGCTTCGTTCTGTGCTCCAGTCGCTGCTCCCGACACAAGGCCAGCATGGCCTTGTTGTCTACGTACAGCACTGGAGGAGAACGAGGCGGCTCTCCGAGGTCAGTCAGCAGGTAGGTGAGCCAGCGAAGCTCTTGTGCAGCCATGGCTCCTGCGTAGATCTCAGCCTCACAACTGGAGCCGAGAACAGAAGACGAGCGAGTAGCCCGCCACGAAACAGAGCCGGAACCAAGGCTGAAGGTGTAACCCTGTGACGACCGCTGCGTAGCCTGGTCGTCAGCCCAAGAAGCGTCTGCGTGCCCAGTAAGGACCACTGGACTCTGCCCTCCAAGCACAAGCCCCATGCCCGACGTACTGCACAAGTAGCGCAACACCCTCTTCGCTGCAGCCATGTGCTCCGGTCTGTGTCTCCCAGGAGCAACATAGCGTGCGAGAATGCTAAGAGGGTATGCAAGGTCAGGTCGTGTGCAGGTCATCAGGTACATGAGGCAGCCAACAAGCTCTGGGTACGGGCCACTCGACTCTACGGACTCATCCGAAGGCAGAGCTGAGAGCGAGTGCCGAGTAGGCAGAGGAGTGGCCTGAGGCGAGGAGTACGTGAAGCCGAAGCGCTGAAGGACCTGCTGCACCATGTGTGACTGAGTCAGGGTAATGGTGCGGCGTGCTCTGTCCCGAGTGATCTGCAAGCCAAGGTAGCTGCGCAGTTCACCCAGGTCAGTGCACGTGTGTCTCTTCTGCAGCTCGGACTTCACGTGGGCGAGTCCAGCAGTGTCAGCTGTGGCAAAGACCAAGTCGTCGACGTACACGAGGATGTAGAACGGCGGCAGAGAAATGTCGGTGCGCAGAAACAGCGACGGGTCGGCAGTAGAGGGAGCAAACCCAAGAGCCGCAAGTGTAGTCCTCAGTGTGTCGTGCCACTCACGCGGTGCTTGGCGGAGACCGTAGACTGGCCGCCGTAGGCTCCACTGGGTGCCAGGAGGAAAAGACCCAGTGAAACCAGGTGGGCGACTCAGCCAGATCTCCTCGTGCAGGCTGCCCTGCAAGAAAGCAGTGCTGAAGTCAAGAGAGTGTAACTCGTAGTCACGGTGAGCAGCTACGTGCAGCAGTACCCGAAGAGTGGTCATCTTCGGGGTGGGAGAGAAGGTCTGAAAGTAGTCAACTCCCTGCCGCTGACTGAAGCCACGAGCCACGTAACGCGCCTTGAAGACAGGCGGAGAACCCGGCGGTCGCTTCACCCTGAAAATCCACATGCCACTGACGATGTTCGCCCCAGGAGGGGGAACAGCGTCAACGTAGGTGCCTGTGGACTTCCAGGAAGCCATCTCTGCGTCCATAGCTGCCTGCCACTGAGAGGAGTAGGGACCCTCTATCGCCTCCGCGTAAGAGCGCGGAGTCGGGATGTCAAGTGCATCCGGGTCTCCCTCAGGGGTAAGCAGTACGGACACGAGATGAGGTGAAGCAGCGGCCAAGCACTGGAACTCCTCCTGCCTGTCCTCAAGGACGTCCGTGCCAAGGGCACACTCACCCCCGACGGACGGAGGACAGACAGACTCAGACTCAGCAACAAGAATGGCGACGTAGTCTAGGCGACAGCGAGCAGCAAAGTCGACGAGCTCAGCAACTAGGGCAGACGCAGCAGTGGACTCAAAGGAAGGGACAGTGACAACAGTAGCAAGGAGACGCGTGACAGTAGGACTGGCAGCACGAAGAGAGTCCGACTCCGGGTCGGCAAGAGCAGGAAGAGAAGACTCAGGAGGAGAAGGGAAAGGGGCACGCAGAGGAGCAGTGGACGGACGCAGAGACATCCGGTGCGTGCCAGGGACAGGAGGAGGACGCTGACGCGAACCGCGACCACTAGTGCGAGCAGCACGGACAGGCGACGCAGGGCGAGACGCAGGCTCACGACGCTCAGCAAGACCTCTAGTAGGACCAGTGTAGGGAGACGGAGCAGGCAGTGGGGAGGCCGGCTGTAACTGTAACTGCGACGGGACAGGCTGTGGACACTCTAAGGGAGGAGGAGGACCAGTAGAAGACGGGAGACCAAGAACCTGCTGAAGGAGCGGAACGAAGTACGGCCGAGGCCGCGCGGCGACTCCAGACACAGCAGGGACAGCACCAGCACCCCCTGTGGCAGCACCAGCACCAGTAGCAGCTCCAGCTCCAGTACCCCCAGCAGCACCAGCAGTACCCCCAGCAGGACCGTCTCCAGGACCGACAGCAGTAGCCTCCGCGCCAACACCCGCAGCAGCTCCAGCTCCAGAAGTACCCGCAGGTCCAGCAGCTCCAGTACGCCCAGTACGAGCACCTCCGGGACCCGTGGCACCAGCTCCCTCAGCAGCAACAGAAACTCCAGTACCCGCAGCTCCTCCAGCTCCAGCAGCTCGCCTCCAGCGCCGGGCAAACCACTCACGCAGCTCCTGTGGAGAGAGTGGCTCCCGGCGAGAAGAAGCACCCGGAGAACCGCCAGGCACAGCACCAGCAGGCCCAGCTCCCTCAGGCTCCGCACCCCCAGGCTCAGCACCTCCAGGCGTAGCACCCCCAGGCTCAGCAACCCCAGGCGTAGCACCCCCAGACTCAGCACCCCCAGGCTCAGCACCCCCAGTCGTAGTACCCTCAGGCTCAGCACCCCCAGGCGTAGCACCCACACGCTCAGCACCCCCAGAGTCAGCACTCTCAGGCTCAGCACCCTCAGCAGCACCAGAGTCACCAGCGACCTCGACAGGCTCAACAGCGTCTACCTGGGACACACCTGAAGGGGCAGGACCCTGAGGGGGGAGGGGGTCTACCGGGGGGGGACCTGGTACAAGGAAGAGCGGTGGCGGGGGGAGGGACGGAGTGCGGTAGGGGAAGAGGCGGTAGTAGGGGACCGACTCCTCGAACGTGACGTCCTGGGAGGACAGAACACGGCGAGAGGTGGGGTGGTAGAACTGCCACCCGGGGGCGTCAGGGGGGAAACCCAGGAAGACGCAAGGAGCAGCACGAGGGGACAGCTTGTCCGCAGACAAGTCGCGGACAAACGCCCGAGATCCCCAGACACGGAACGCAGACGCATCGCCAACCTTCCCCGTCCACAGTAAAGCTGGGGAGGTCTCCGGCATGGAGACCCTGGGCTGAAGTTTGATCTGATGCGCTGCGTACCGAACCGCAAACGGCCACAGAAAATGGGGGGCAGCCGCATGCATCATGGACGTACGGGCGACGTCCATGACCATGCCAATGCGGCGCTCAGCAATCCCATTTTGCTGTGGAGAGTCCGGAAGCGTGAAGGTCTGGCGGATGCCTCGTGCACGACAGTAGGCTCGCAGAAGGCCAGAGGAGAACTCTCCGCCTCTGTCAGAGTGCAGACGCAGAACAGGAAAGTCCGAGCCGAAGCTCCGCCTGAGCTGGAGACGAGCTGCGCGGATCCAGTCGATCAACACCTCAGTGACATCACCCTTGCTGCGCAAGGGGAAGACTGTGGTGTAACGCGAGTATTCGTCAACCACCAGCAGGAAGTAGCGCTCGTGACCCTGTCCACGGACGCGGGCCGGGCCCCACACGTCCATGTGAAGCGTCTGCAGCGGGGCCTCTGTCGGAGGAAACTGGGAGGAGTGAGGGGCAGCCCGCTGCCGCCCCTCGACACAGGGGACGCAGGTAGGGCCAGGCCC